TCTTCTCCCCCCTCCCCTCTTTTTATTCCCCCCCTCTTCTCTTTTTATTCCCCCCTCCCCTCTATTCTCTCCCCCTCCTCCCTCTATTCTCTCCCCCTCCTCCCTCTCTTCTTATCCCCCCTCCCTTCTTTTTATTCCCCCCCTCCCCTCTATTCCCCTCCCCTCTTCTTACCCCCCCTCCTCCCTCTCTTCTTACCCCCTCCCCTGTAGCGTGGCCGAGCTGCACTCCGGTCCGCGGTGGCCGGCCGGCCGGAGTGATAGGAAGGTGCACACTGAGTGTGCACCTTCCTGTCAGTCCGACCGGGTACAGGAAACAGAAACTCCTGTTCCGCGCGGAACAGGAGTTTCTGTTTCCTGTACCCGGTCGGACTGACAGGAAGGTGCACACTCAGTGTGCACCTTCCTATCACTCCGGCCAGCCACCGCGGACCGGAGTGCAGCTCGGCCACGCTACAGGGGAGAAGCTGCAGCCGCCTGAGGCTCTTAACAGATCTGCAATGAGTTCTAGCCAAATATGTGACATTTATTTTTACGCAAATTTAAGAAAATCTACATTTCATTTTCCTATATAAATGAGGATTAAGTTTGGATCTGAGGGCATCAGCCTCTTGAGCATAGCTACAACAGAGGCAGGGGTGGACTCACCACTCGGGCACTTCAGTCACTGACAGAAGGCCTGGGGGCAGTTAGGTGTCCACGTGCATCTGTGCAATCATGACCCAGCAAGTGACCCGATGTCTTTGTCCACTGTAGTGTGGCCTAGTGGGATAATATGGGACATCCAGTACTGCTGCTTTCCTCTGCCAGCTGTTGTTGCTCAAGATGGGAGGAGGGGAAATGGTATCACAGCATGCTCCTGCCTCCCCCACTCTAACAGTGTCACAACCTCATTAGCAAAGAGCATGGATGACACCTGTCAGACAGAAGGTATAGCAATCGTAGGTGTCACGCATTTTCTCACTCGGCCATGCTACAAAAGTATATTATATTCAAGAGTAGAGATTTGAGGTAACATAAATGGGGGCACAAGTTGAGAGAAATTTGCCTAGGTAGGGCCACAAGGTGAGAAAAATTGGGTTAGGCCCAAGGTGAGAAAAATTGGGTGTCGGCAGAAGATGAAAAAAGTGACTGGAGGGGTCACAAGGTGAGAAAATTTGTGGTGTAGAAGGTGAGGGGAATTCAGGAGGCACAAGGTAAGAGAAATTAGGTAGCGGCACCTAATTTTGCCTGGTGCCCAGATTGTTGTCCGTCCCTTAACAGATTTATCTTTATGTTTGGACTCTGAAGGGTGAATTTGTCTCAGAGGTCCATCGTTATCCACCGCATGCAGTTTGCAAATTTGAGTATCAGTCTGTATCAAAGATCTTCTCATTATTTCCCAAACTACACTCGAAGAAGTCAGGTATTTAAATTATTATAATGTGTCCCTAAACTGTGGAATGAATACATATATACACTGCCTGACTTTATTGTTGCCTTCCTCCCTAAAGAACGCACAATATTTTTTTTTTGTAGTTGCTGATAACATGTTTGAATATAGCTTGTATTATACCAGTAAATCATCTGATGCATGGAATTGTTTCCATTGAGTATAGTACAGTGTGTTGCTAAATACTTTGTCTATCTGGAGGGCTGCTATCCTTTCCAGATAAGAGGTTCTCCTTTCAATGAACAGAAACCTGCATTCTAAGATATTGTTCACAGGCAGATTGCTTCATTTCCTAATCGGTTTAAGATAGGTTAAGGCACACTTTGAGAAGTCGAAACAGATTTTTTAGCAGGAGCCAGATACACAATGAGTGTAGGGTGAACTATGTACAGCATAATGAGCATGCAATGTAACAGATTGTGATTTACTCGGAAATTGAAATATTCTGGTCCTGAATGATATAATGAAAAACATGAGGCTATATTGACCTGTATCCCAGATAAGACAACTGTGGCAATAATAATACTGTCATTATGTATTTCCCTGCCCCTCTTGCTCCAGAGGTTTAGGATAACTACTTGTGTCTGTTAATAATACTCTTGGCATAACAATTCTTCATACAGTCAATCTTGTGTGCGGATTGAATTTAACAGTCATGTCTTTCAGATAATCCATCAGTGTGGAGCAGATTGAACCCTTCGGGATATGATTTCTACTTAATATTTGTTCAGACAAGTGTCAGACAGTGTGTTGGAATTACCGAACACAAATGTATTTTGAAATTTAAGAAGATATGTTATGAGGGTAAGCCATTACAGGCAGTTATCTTAACTTGATTAGTGACCTCTTTATATTAGACATATGCATTCGTTTTCATAGGAATATGATTTTGTCCGAAAATTCGATTTTTTTTTCGTATTTGTTTACTAAAACATAAACAAAAGCCCTACATACAAAATATAAGCGAAACGAAAGGGCAAATGCCGAATGCATTACCTTTTCGTTTTGTTCGTTTAATAGACTCCGTGCTGCAGGGTAGTTAGCCCCCACAGCACGGAGAAAATAACACTGCGCGTGCGCTACCAGCTCCCTCCCTGTAATAATATTAATTCCTACCTCCCCCCCCATTAAAACCTATGGGGGTAGCCATGTGTAGGGGCATGTCGCTGAAACAAATTTAAAAGTACTAGTGACTGGGCAGCTATTGCTGCCCAGTCATTAGTGCAATAAGAAGGAACCTGGCACTGGTCCCACCATTCCCCCATAGTGGGGAACATAATATAACTTAAATGGGGGGGACATATTGCCCCCCTGGCTATTAATATAAACCTAATGGGGGATCAGGGGGGACTTAATGTCCCCCCTGATCCCCACCCACGAGCGGCAGGTGGGGACCCTAATTAATGAAAGGGGGGACCTAATGCCCTCCCTGGTTCCCACCCATGAGCAGCGAGTGGGGACCCTAAATAAATAAATAATGAGGGGGGCCGAATGTCCCCCCTAGGTCCCCACCTATGAGCAGCGTGTGGGGAC